TTCGTCGGAGTTTATATTTCAGCCTCCTGAACGAAACAGTTTGTCACAGCCCCTCGTTTGTTGTCCTCTTCTCTCTCTCTGCCTACGGTTTACCGGGCAGTTCTGTTTGTGACGATATATATATTATATATATATATCGTCACATATATAATATTGCAATCAGACTCTCTTTCTTCTTCAACTCACATGCATGCAAAAGATGACAAAGCACACTGGCGCCTAAGCGCCCACTCAAACCTCCGAGATATGGAAACCGATGCAAACTCGCTTCAACAGGCTATGGCGCATGAGCGCCTGTACATCCCACTCTCGACACTGTGTCCACAGCCACTGTTCATGCACACTCAACTCTGGACCACCCTGAATATCCCACACACGTCCACTGTATCACACCCGCTCTCACACACACACTGACACCTATCACTAGCTATGGCGGCTATGGCCGCCGGCTACTATTAACTATGGCACACTATCTCCTCCTCAGCCCACTTCGACTTCAGGCCTCTGCAGACCACCTCGCACAAGACGCTAGAGCAAGGCTTCCCCATGGCTTACGCAGCAATCAATGAATGGCTGGACTCTCCCTCTTGATTTATACTTCTGTAAGTCGCTGGTCTGCCCTTTTCCACCGGGCCCATGGTGCACACAGTCCCTCATGGTATTTGCTGACTGTACAAAGTGAGACTGGGACTGGGTACCGCTGACTAAGCGAAGTTGGACTCACCACTTGCCCACTTGCCTCTGGTCTGCTGTGTATAACGTGAAAAGAAACTTGAAAGGCCACTTCCGGACCTTCCGAAGGTTTGCGGACTTGGCCTTTCAGGACTGTAGCAGCTACGACCTTGACCTTTCAGGATTGTAGCAGCTATGACCTTGACCTTTCAAAACTACAACAACTATGACCCCTATGCAGGTATGACCCCTTCTTCGACAGGTCTAAGGTTCAAGACCCGACAACTACTCAGACCTACGACAGACAACTTTCAACTGCTAACACACAGGTGACGGGTTCAAGACACACAGCGTCGACTTGATACTGTACACAGGTAAGGTAAGGTAAGGTAAGGTCTGGGGATCGAGCTCTGGGATCCGCATCTGTGACTGCAAAAAGGTGAAAACCGTTTCAATATTATATATCTATATATATCGTCACAAACAGAACTGCCCGGTAAACTGTAGGCAGAGAGAGAGAAGAGGACAACAAACGAGGGGCTGTGACAAACTGTTTCGTCGGAGTTTATATATATATATATATATCGTCAAATAGAACTG